GCTACGAAATTGTATTTCAGACACTGCAGTTATAGACTTAGGCTGAAGTTGTGATGTGAAACGACATAGCAATTCTGAACTTAAGGCAACGTAAACTGGGACATCAAAATGAGTGTACAACTGACAGCAAAGCGATGGAGAGTGATTTGCTATGGGTGGATTAAACCATGTAACAGCTCTTTCTCCAACACTGGTACTGACCCAGTATTTCGTGAGAAAGTGCACGGGCTTTGTTACGTGCCATTTATGGTTGTGATGCAATCGATGACCAAAAATGTTCTCGCCTCTCTCCATGCATGCGCCGTCTTGGTTTGAACCGAACTGACGCGCTCACCGGTCTTAGCCCGCTGCGTTGGCCATTCATGCACTAAGACCTAGGTCCTTACCACTGGGTTTTTTGGCATGGCTAGCAAATGATACTCAGTGCAAATGCTCAGATGCTCAAATGCTCACTCCCGGTGGCTCAGTTGGTTAGAGCGCCTGCCTTCAGATCCACCCAACCGTGGCAGGGTGGGTTTGCGTCGGTTTAGGGCGCTCGTTATTTGCCTTGACAGGTATGGCCTACGGCCGGTGGCAGCGGTCGCGCTAAAGGTCAGTTGACGTCAGAGGGCAGGACGGACGGTGCCGAGCATTGCGGCACGTTAAGCTTTCGCCACTGAACGCTGCCGTTGCCTGGAATTGCGAGATCGGATGGTGGGGGTCAGGGCTCAGACAACAAGCACTGTTCAGCGTGAGCGCTGGTTCCAGAAATTCATCCATTCAAGTGGTTCGGATCAATTTTTTTTAATGAACCTTCCAAAACGAAATTATTGGTGATGTTTGCCACTCACTGCACTTCTTTATTTCTGTTTCGTAAGGTTTATGGCATTTATAGCTATAATGCGACGCTTTCTGATAAATTTGGCTGCATGTGGCAGGTCAGGCTTTTTCATAGTTTCTTCGATGACAGAAGGCACTTTTTTAGCCCTGTCCTTGTCTTTTCCGAGTAACGGCAGTGTCGCTAGTACACTGAGGAGAACATGGTATTATCGGTTAGGAGCTAAAGAAAAAGGCCATTCCATTACAGTGCAGGGTGCCTGACGGTGGTCACGCTGGCGACACAGGGGCGATCCACCAGGTCGATACGGAAGCCCTTAGAGGTATCAGTCATATATTGGTTGCCTACATGACGCCGGAGCTCCCTGACCCGGGTATTTGACCCCGGATATACGCAGGGGTCCTATTTAACGTAAAGAGGTTCCTTATCTCCGCAGGTGTCCAATAATTGGCATAAACTCCGCCCCAGCATGACTGGCGTATGGCTGAAATGTGATGGAGGGCCTTCCATCGTCTCATCGTGCCCTCTCGTCGCAAACTCTCATATCCACTCCCGTGTCCGAGGGCCTCGACCAGCATACCAGGCCTCCTAGCATTCGGGGTCCCGCCCCTGCCAATGCTCATCAGTGTTCCCTTGCCGACACAGGACCCTCTTTTAAGCACTGTGGACAGGTGACTGACACAGAAGCCGCAACGTTTCAGGCCTCCCGGTCACTGCTTATGGCGGGTGCCGACCTTGTCCCTGCCTGGGAAGAGGGCCCTGAGTCCCAGACCTGACGCTGGTGGTGATCTTGTGGGAAACTGGTGGTGAATCTGCCACCTATAAGTGAATCCGCCACGTATGAGTGAATCCGCCACGTGAATCCGCAGCCACGTGAAGTCCGCCACGTCTTTAAGGGTCCACAGGAGGGACATAATTTCCTAAAACAGTCCATGGAGGTCAAGCTGAGCAAACCTGGCCGTAAATAGCCGGCAAGACCTGATATCGCATGGCCTTTAACCGCTTCTAAGCCCCAGTCGCTAACAGACCCGGCCGCGGATAGCCGGTGAGCGGCCGCTGACGTCATTCGCGACGTAAACTGACAGTCAGCATGCGATGACGATGCAATGACGCACGGAATGACGACTGTCGACGCACCGGAAGGAACTGCCGTGGCACCAGAGCAAAGCTCGTTCGTGACAAATGGGAATAGGGTTTAGGTTTCAGAAGCTTGGACTTGGCTCACGTTCAATGAAGTGTCCCATATGATTATAATGCACTGGTCTTCTTGAAAAGAGGCAACAATCAAGACGTTCTTTTACTTCCACACAAAGGTAACTTATTTATTTTGGCGAGCGCACAGTCATCTTGCAGGAACCAGACCACATCGTGCAATGGTAGAGATGGAAATTGACATAGCTGCAGATGACATCGTCAATCGGCCAAACCCCATGATGGTTTTGAATTCGATTTCGTCTTCTTAAAACAGACAAAAAGTTTTCAAAAATCACTATCAACCCCAGCAAGATCTAACACTGAACTGTTTTTCCTATCTACACCGTCTTCTGCATGACGCTTCGTGGTAAAATTACAGCGCAACGGAATGCCTGAATAATGAAACCACCACTACCTCTAGCCACCACTAAAACCCTATCACTGCAAGGTCGCCTTCACAGAATAAAACAAACATGCAAGCAGATGATTAATAAACCGGACGGGCGTTCTTTGAACAAAGTGCCCTTACGAAGAAGTGCGTGCTCACCCAATCCACCCACTTCCCACGTGGCTGTGCCCATGCGTATCGCTACCCCTTCCTAATCAGCAAAAGGAATCGAGGTGCCTTGTGTTAGTTATTGATCTTGAACATACCAGGAGCTGCTGGCGAAACGACGTTATCAAGCAAACATCAGATAACTCACCCATACTCATGCTCTTCAATTCCACCACGCAAGATGACACAACACAATCTCCATTTATAGTTCGCTTAAAACATTGGTTAACATCCGTCCCGTTTACATTTGATACAACACTGATGAACTACGGTCCGTGGGTCAAAGGTCAACGGAAAGAACACGTCGCGCATGCAATGCAATCACGCATGACACATACACTCATGCATACATACAGCAAAAATGCGAGCAATTTCGCTGTGTAACGCGAACCCAATTTCGCCTTTCATCATCATAAAATATCCAAAATAGTCTGCTTCCACTTCGGCAAAGACTCAAAACATGCAAACATCTCAAAATAATTTGGCTTCCGGGTTGTAACTATTAGTACTATAGCTATTCCTAGTAGAATAACTAGAATTGACAAACATATATTTTGGGATATTAGAGAACATATCTATATCAGACATATGATATTCATATCTTAGATATATGAGATAACATACCAATATGAAATACTATATCTGTCCATCCTCCTGCTCATTCCACGAGAAGCACGACCATTGATGTCATATCTATATGCATAATGTCCATCGCAGATGCCCTTGCAAACGTACGTAATTGTAGCGTTTGCGTCCATCGCTACCGTGCGTATGGGGATGCTATGTTCGTTGTTGCTCGAGCTTTGCGACGCGACTAATTAGCCAGTGACGTCGCGACGACGCGGCGAATTAGCCAGTGTGCTGTATGTTTCTGTTTCTCCTACATATACGAAAAATACACCCCAGCTCTTGTGCGTACCATGACCGACACCGGCACAAGATAGAACTGAGTTTATGCTATGGATCGTTTCAAAGGTTGATGACATCCAGTGCACAAAATCTCGACAATCCGTACAGCCGTCCAAGCTGTGCGTCTCGCTAAAGAAAGCGGACAGAGAGACGGACAGACAGACGTGCGCTACGAACCTAGCAAACTGGAATAGACAAATAAAGCTTTTCTGGATAGTTTGCAAACTTCTTAGCATGTTGTGGATGTTATTAATTAATTGCAGGCCACGCACTTTAGGGGATTTGACGGGGAGCGGACGGAGAACCTCATGCGAACCAAAAGCTATGAACTCATTGCGCTTTAGACCATCAGAACCTTCTTCACTGCATGAACTAAGTGCATGCAAAGTCCAGACCTCTCAATGCCAAAATCCAAGGTGAAATCCAAGGTAGATATGGGAAAACTGCAATCACCTGAAAAACAAATAGCTTCTAACAATCTGACTTCCCTTCGGTGCATCAACCAGCGTGCTTTAAAGTGCTCATATCTGAAGATCACACTCCAGGGTGAAATTTGAGATTGTCGTCGTCGCTGTCATCGGGGCTTCACGGCGCACTCAGCTGCTGAGGCCAGATGGCGTCGCCTGTCCCTCACCCCGACAGGAATGGCGGGGACTGCGGGGAATCGAACCTCGTACTTTTGGTTTCCCAGAAGCACGGGATTGCCCAGAAGTGCAGGGTTTGGGATTTTAAGCCCAGCTGGGCTACTGTACTACCGGCACGGCACGGTACAGGGTTTAGTATGGAAATGGAAATTTAAATATGGAAAAAAGTATGGAAATTTAAACAACGCTTAACGGCTGCACTACCGGCATCTGAAATTCGGAATCATGAGACAGGAACTCCGTCGATTTTTAACATCAGAATCTTCTTTAGCACGTAAAGCAGTATCCTTCAAAAAGCCCCGACCTTTCCAAATTATTTTGCAAAGTTGCAAAGTTTGACCTTCAAGGTTAAGCGTCTATCTGGAACTATCAGTCACTTGTTATGTCACGATCATGAGTCACTTGTTGTGCCACGATCAAACGAAGAAGCCATGAAAACTGTCATTGCTCATGCCATCACATTATATGCGTGCTACGCATACACACATCGCCGCCGGGCAAAGTACAGCTCACACATGGACCATAACATGCCCTTTATTACGCAGTCTTGTATATCTGAGTGAAGATGGACCAATATCCAAAGCATCACCTTACAAGCGGACTCTCAGTACTGACAGACGATCATTTCCCAAGGACTCACTGACTTTAGGAACGACAAGCAGACGTACAGCCGCGAGGATGAGTTCGGCTGAGATGGCAGCACCTTCCAACAGAGGCTAGCAAAAGACGGCCGTGCCGCTATGCCGCGGGGCCAGAGACGCGGATGGGATGACGGGTGGAGCGCCTTGTAACGGCAGTCCTTCCGTCGGCGGCTCGCTCAACGGATAGAGTCAGACGTCGACGAGTGCCCCCCCCCCCCCCCTCCCCCCCCCATTTCCAGAACGAACAGAGCAGCGCGACCGCGCCTGCGGGTGAGCCGATCCAGCCGGCCGTCGACCGCCTCAGCACACACCCGCACTCCTCCCGCCCCGCGGGGTGCGCCACATCAGCCCAGGCACGTCCCCACATAGGGCGAGGGGGAGAGCCGCCGGCCCCCGGTTGGAGGCCGTGTCGCCGGGCACCACGGCGCGAGCGGGGACGGACCGGCGGAGTCACTCGGCGGGCGCCACGAACACCTGCGACGGCCGCGCCAGTGTGTGGTAGCGCGGCCGCACGCTCTCCATCCAGGTCGCGTTGGAGAACATGTCGTACTCGGTCGACACCATGAGGTTCTCAGTCAGCTGGTACAGGTGGCACAGCTGCTTGAACTCGTCCACCAGCAGGGCGTAATCCCTGCGCGGGGGACAACGGGTCACGTCAGGTCAGAGCAGATCGCTCACACCCCGTCTGTATGGGCAGGTCAAGTCAGACAATGGTCAAAGCGCACGACAAATTCTGCACGTTTGTGCAGATGGCTTTTCCACATCCGATCGAAAAACTGTTACTTTCTGCCAGAACCCTTTCCGTTTCGGCAAAACTTGGTAGAGATAGAGCACACCGCGCAAGAAGACAACAAACCGGTTTGCAGACCCAGACGACCTCTACAATCAGGGCTAGAGGCCATCCGTTATTCCCATTGCGTCACGGACTCGACAGATTAAGATTTCCAGGAGGCCCGGCTGGGAGGTCAGACCGCACTGACACGGATTACAGACCAGGCGAGACAAAGGCGATGAATGACCAGACTGGCAGGTCGGATCATCCTGACCTGGATTGCAAGATCGGGCGAGACAAAGGCGATGCATGACCTGGCTGGGAGGTCAGACCGTGTTGACTGGGATCATAGACCGTGAGGGACGTGAACGGTGAAGGACCCGGCTGGGAGGTCAAATCGTGCCGACAAAGATAACAAACACCGGGCGATGCATGGCCTGGCTGAGGGCTCAGATCATACTGACCTGGATCACAGACCGGACCAGACCGTGATATGAATAAAGTCGCAAGTCAAGAGTGACCAGGTTACGCCACAATTTCGGTCCACGGCACACGCCTGACCGATATATTCGCGGTATATCGGTCAGACGTTATATTCGCGTTAAAATGAGGGGCAGATAAACGTAGTGGTTAGTTCAGCATGCGTAAGGCACGACCAGAATGTGAGGCTGATCACTCCCGTCAACACGGCCCATTCAGACCTCCGCACCCTGCAAGCGCGACCGTGGTATTACCCCGCCTGCCGACACTGCTCCCCTCGCGGCATACCTCCTTTCTCTCTACAATGCACACCTCTACGGCATCCCACGTCACAAGGCGACTAAATATCTGCTGCAGTTGGGTCGGCGGACAAGGATCGCGATTAATTTCATGAGACTGAGATGAGCAGCAGCAGCGATCAGCGACCCACACAGACGGCGGGACCAGCCACCAATACAGGCTCGCACCTAGCCTCGACAGGCATGCTCCCGGCTAGGGCCGCAGGGAGGGCCTTGGGTCACTTCCGCCGCACCGCCGCGCGGGTCAGTGTGAGGACGGCAGGGATCAGTCCGGGGCGGGCCGGACTGGACGGGTCACCAGACCTGGACCACTAAGAGGCGGCCGGCGCCGGCCGACCGCGCCGCACTCACGCCACTGTCACTGCTGCTGGGATCACGGTCGCCTGCACCAGTTCCAAGCTGTACCCCCTCGGCCACGCTAGGCTGTGGCCTCGCCCTCGCACTGCGGTCACAAGGCGACGGAGCACGGACAGAACAGCTCGAGACGAGGCCTGACGCCACCCAGCGGCGGCGAGCGGCCCCGCCAAGCGACCCCGGCTGACCTCTGGACGGCGGGCTCCCTCTGCTGGCGCTGGACAATTCCGAGCGTCCGGCTGGGCGGCGGCAGGTCGCGGCGCAGCTGGTCAACGCGCAGCTGCAGCTGGCGCTGGGCCACCGTGGCCTCGGCCAGCTCCGCCTCCAGCCGCAGCACCCGCTGCAGTCGCGCTCGCTCTGCCTCTCCGTGCTCCCGCATCATCGCCTCGCCCCTGCCGGACACGGGTGGCCGCTGACAGTGCACTATGGCGCACATGCGGCGCGCGACGGCGGCGACGAGGCGATCCTGGCGGCAGCCGGAAGCACTAGCTCGCAGTCAACGCCGGCGAACGGAACATGGATTCCGACGAAAACGACACTAAACATGGAAAACGGCGACAAGCGAGATGCCAGAGACTACTAAACCAGGTTCTGTTCTTTGTGTTATGTGCACAACCACAAGATCCGGCTGATGCTGGTGACTTCAGTGTTCGATACTATCTGGTCAGCATGCACACCTGCATACTTACAACCGGATGACGAAGGTCTGCCTGGCTATGAAACACGACAGTTTTGGACACAATGTTAGGACACATAAACAGGACACCATTTCGAGCAAAGCATTGCGAAAACATAAAACAAGATTTAGGATGGATACTGGTAACTATGAACCGGGCCAAATGCATGTCTTGTTTTCGTGGTTTCATACCTCCCGGTTTAGGTTACTCACTGTCCGTCAGGCAGATCCAGTACAGACGAAGGCAGCTGCGCAAACCTCGAAAATCGTTCTGTGGCCTCCAGGATTCGCTTCGGCTCGAACGACTCCTTACTGGCAGCGCTACTTGCATTTTGTACAGCGGCTGTGAAAACAACAGAAAAGAGACCTCGTAACGCACAGGCAGTGTTCTCATAGAAGATTCCTATTTCATTACAATAATGAGGTCTTTCGCCAACTCAAGACTACAAAGCTCCAGATTTTTGCCGACATCGCTTGGCGTGCGGTGAGTGCAGCGAATGCGGTGGTTGGTGTGGGTGCGGGTGGGTGCGGGTGGGTATGGGTGGGTATGGGTGGGTGCGGTGAGTGCAGTGAGTGCGGTGGGTGCGGTGGTTGGTGTAGGTGCGGGTGGGTATGAGTGGGTGCGGTGAGTGCGGTGGGTGATGCGGGAGGGCACGGTGGGTGCGGGTTGATTCTATATCATCAGGCGTGGTTATCATATTCCGGTGGCTAAGTGTAGATATCGGAATCAATAGCATCATAATTCAAGCGTCACCACGAGTGGAAATATTCCGGGCCCAAGCGTAATGCGTCATGATCAATCCGAACGTCAAATGCGTAGCTTAAGATATCGGAGTCCATAGTCTTACAAGTCACGTCATACCATGCGTGGTCCAGCAACATTTAGGTGTACGTTGTGCATAATCCATACATATTTCGTTAACGCATTTACTGGCAACAAACCGATAAAGCGCATAAATGCCAGTGTTTCAGTTGTCTGAGGTTCAGTTGCAGACGAACCATTGTTTGGAAACGATTTTTTGCCCATTTTAAGAAAATTGAAACAGGATAATTCCCACCACAGGCCCAATTCCTCTGCTGCCAGATGTCCAAGAACATAGCCCCTTTCTTTTCAAAGGGTTGAGGGACATTTATATTGATGTTTTATGCATAACAGAATGAGCTGCCATGTCTGGCATGAAGTTCGTCGACCCAGGGCAACTCACACCCGGAATGATACAGAATGAAAACCTCACAATGGGGTAGAATGGGGCCCCGATCTCTCACTGTGTGTATTTCCATACTCCGAACGCATTTAGCATTTAACTGGCTGAAGGAGAGCTGCAATAAAGCTATCCCACAGCCGCTGGCACCTGTATCCCGACCCGAGATCGACGGGTCCGGTCCGAGGCCACAAATGTACCTCTGGTCTCAGCCAGCTCTCTGGTCAGGGCGGCGAGACGGCGGCGCCGCTCCGCCAGCGGATCCGGCTCCGGCTCCGAAGCCGAAGCCGAAGCCGGATCCGGCTCCGGCTCTGCGGCTGACAGGCGCTTTGAACGACGGACCGGCGGCATGGCGTCCGGGCCTGAAACAGATCCAGCTCTGTCAGCGGTGAGAAAGGGGGACGGCACGCAGGTGGAACAGACCCAGCCCTGTCAGCGGTGAGAAAGATAGATGGCACGCAGGTGAAACAGATCCAGTCTTGTAGAGAAGTCGAATTGAAGCCTGACTGCAGCGAAAGGTGTCTGTGTCATTCGCAGCTTTGGCACAATTCAAAATGGAAGCTTGAGTTGCTTTTCATGTGAGGAACAAATTGGAAACCTAAGGCCAACTGACACCAACACCAAAGCCACATCGGGGTTGGGTGCGCGTATTTGCGCTGCTTACTGGTACACATTGGCAAACAAATTCTGACCACTTACATTCCAACTGGACGATAGTATGAGTTCTTCTTTTCACAAGGGAACCAGATGGTGCCGAGCAGATTTCCAATCATTCATGCAATTGGTGATAAAATATGACTGTTGTCATCACCCATAAATACCAACTGCTGGGCCTTGATGACACATTCAGCATTTTGGGTCGTGATTACAATCTCTCGCGCAGATCGATGTCAGAAATGAAGAACTGTTGGCTGACAGATGTCAGGAATGAAGGAACTATTGGCTGACCGATGCCAGGTATGGAGGAACCGTTGGCTGACCGATACCAGGTATGGAGGAACCGTTGGCTGACCGATCCCAGGAATGAAGGAACTGATGGCTGACCAATGCCAGGAATGAAAGCACTGTTGGCTGACAGACAGGTGTGAAGCCAGCTGGAGACTCGGCACACCGTCGGTGGGCGGGTTCTCTCTCAAGTGAGCTGTAACGATCCACGGGTGTCACCGTCGTGGACACCTGTTCAGTTAAGTTAAGCTGTGCACAATGAAATGTGTCATCAGAAAGTTTGAAAAATACAGGCAAGACAAAAAGAATGCTGAAAACGTTGGGTGTGCAGGTCTTTTGATCTGAAATATTCTTGAAATATCGCTCTAAATTTACAACATGGCAGCCAGCCAAAAATAGCACAGCATCAAATAAATTACTCGAAGTAGCCACCTGCTGGATACAAATCCCAAGATGCAAAGGCACACAATGTCAATTGATGGCAGACATTCAAAATGTGTACTAAATCAAGTAGCCACTGGTGTTTTAAATGCATCATGCACATTTCAGATAACTACAGCTTCCATGCATCCATGCTTCAATGCTCTGCAAGTCTGAGTTGTCACTTTGTCAATACTTTGGTAACAACACAAATTATGTGCTCATCAAAACTGTACTACAAACCATGACCCCTGCTGGCCCTTATTTTACTTAAAACAACAAAGCTATGTCCAAGACTAAAGCACATTTGGCAAATTTTAATTCATTCATCAGCACCTTGCTGACAAACTCATTTTGAGCCCCCATGATCACTTTGATACAACAGGACAGAAACAGGACACAAATGATAGTCAACAGGGTATACTGGGGGTAGAACTAGCAGTAAGTCAGGAGTCATCCTCCACTCATCTCAATAATTAGCATTGCTTTGTTAACATGGCTGACATTGCTTCTTTGACTTGCCATGGAAGCAATAGAGCTAAACACTTCAAGTTGATCATACAGGCTCACTGTGCCATTTTGGTATGAAGTAGAAATTATAGTCATAATCCTAAAATAAATCAGCTAACAAAATACAATAAGTGCAACTTAAATACATGATAGAATTATCAACAAAAATGGCATGTAGAGGGAGGAGAAGTGGACATATCCAATAAAATATCACCAGACTGACACAATATAGGAATATGTACACCAGTTTGATCCAAGGCTGGAGGAAATGCATGGTAGAGCTGACTCATGGACCATCTTTGCCTGTAACTACATCATTGGAAATCTAGCACATTCTGATCACTTGAGAATAAGTGGCTTGTAATTGTATCAAAGTTATGTCAAATTGTGTTGCATCATACTTTTCAACTTCTGTGGTTCATTTAGCTGCACAGTTTGAATCAGACAATGCTTTTACATTGCTTCATGGACAGAGTATGTCTTTTAACTATTCTTCAAATATCTTCTCACTGGTTATGCACTGTTTATGCTGAGTGAAAGACCCCTTCCCTGGTTGCATTACATTAAGCATTATGTTTCAAAAGGTAACATCGGTGGGGCCTTGCCACATATGATGGGAGTAAGCCTTCAGCACCTAGTTTCCTATGTTTAAAACACTTAGAAAGGCTTAAGAATGATTTGAGACCACACCTAAGCAAAACGCCACAGACTACATTGTAATCCCTTACCTGTCAACACCTGTTCCCCTTGTTGTGCTTTGGCAATGCTCAAAATAATTTTACATCAAAGCCCCCTTCCCATTCACACTTAGTGTAATATGTGGGAGACCCATCAAGTAGTTTGCACTGTGCCATCAATATAATAAGCTCTGTCCTTGTCCCATTCATTGCATACCTGGACCCTAGTTCTGCAAGTGATAATGGCAGAGAATGCACCTACAACATAATGTGCATTCACAGGATGTCATTGAAGAAAACCCTACCTCACAGATTCGGCAGTGTTAGATCAGGGGACCAAAGCTGAAAAAGGTACTCTGATTACAAGTTGTGATTTCTGCCCACCTCTGGATACCTGAGGGCTACAGTCCAGTAAGCAGCCTTGGACCAGCTGGATTCCCCATTGCACCCATGTACACCTTCAGGGACAGTTTGTTTTGCCCAAATGCACTTAGCCACCAGCTATCAGTTTTGCATTGTGCAGTGGCTGTCCTTGCTCACACTGTCACTATCATGGTGGGCCCATTGGCAGATTTTTTGTAAGGGCCGGCCAGGGTCAACATTTGACATGGATAAACTGTTTTCATAAATGGTTTAAGCAGGTTCTTTTATAACAAACAGTCAGAGCCAATAGTATCAGATCAGGACAAAAACAGCATTTATAAATGAGGCCAGATTCATGCAGTCCAAATTTCGAGTAAGCCTTCTCCCCTATTCCCATTACTTTTCTTCAGCCTCAACACCAACACATGTATATGTCATGCCCACCTACGCTTTGTAAAATTTTCCTGATGCAGCCTGATTTACACCACTGCTGAAAAGCTCTTCCCTCGCTGTCTAATAAACCACAAATACGTACCTTTGCGACAACGCGACGACAGCACCGCGCAGCGCGTAACCCAATGCCGTATAAGGTGCAAACGGTGTAAATGCTGCACACACGCAGGTTCTTGACCCACTCGTATCACGCGCGCAGCGAACCTTGCAGCAATAGAAACTGATGGTCTACAATTTTACTGCCATTTTATACTGCAAATACGTGATGACGTAACTTACCCTATTCTTCAACTTCCTTTTGCGAAAATACTTCGTCGAATATAATGTTTGGGACAGGTGCATCGGAAAGACGAATACTGGCCTACCGAAGCACGTGCCAAGATAGCATCCAAGGTCAATTGGGCACAGATAGTGGCCTAGTTGCACCGTTGCTATGTTGATTCCACTTTCTGAAAAGCCAGTTTCCTTAGATTTTAAGGAGCTTTCTATGATGCTCTCAACTTCTCTGTATTTGTTCGGAGAGCGCTAAGGTGCTCTCAGGCCTCTATATGCTAACTTGCCGGGGCGCTATTGATCGATCAGGGGACCTGCACATGCATAACCCTCTCCATATATCTGCATATGTACTACGCCTAGTCTTCTGGGGCCGTGTGCTGAACGGTGGTGTCCTGTATAAAAAATAACACACCTGAGAACCTTACAACTGAATAGCCGAAATTCCAGGCCTTTAAGAGCTTAGACTCCACGGGACCGCACAATGTTGCGTACTCTACGCCCATTGGTTCGTCACGGAAGGTAGCTTTGTATTATCAGTTCTTAGCAAATAGCGCCAACTGAGCCTTTAACGCCCTTAACTAACTTTTTATAAAGCAGAGTCCCGCAGGGGCACCGGCTTCGGTCGATGTAGGGGGCTAGCGCCCCCTCGGGTCCAAGCTCCGGTAACGGCGCGAGCTGTTCCTCTCAGGGCGTAGCAACCTTGCCGGTACGTAAGCACATGCTCGTTGTTCCGCCCGCTCCTTTCCATTACCCACTTTCCCGCATCCGGCTCATCATCACTCCTCATCCTCGTTTTATCGGGCTCGCCGTGCCCCCTCGCCCGCGTTCCTGGGTTGATCGGATCCTGGTGGCTGAGGGACGCGTCGTGCGTGTTAGTCACGGCACGTCCCAACACTCCACTTTGGCCAGGATATCCGGGAGCCCGGGAGCCCATGGAACCCCAGACGGATCTAGCGGCTTGTTGCTCGCGTTGCGGTTGGGCACTCCTTGCGGGTCTCCGCTTGGGGCGCCTGGCCGTGCAGAGGCTTAAGGGGTCAAGGGGCGGCGGCGCTGAACCACGGTCAGGACGGGAAGGTGTCTCCCCGGTTACACGTGGCCGTGAGGGAGGAGACGTTCGCCCCGTATAGCACCGGGGTAGCCCTGGCGGTGACCACCTCCCGAGGGAGTGTTGGGCCGTGCTCCAGTTGGGCTTCGCGGTGGGTGGGGAGCCCCAGTGCCGAGAGGAAAACCACCTTTTATGGCTTCTTCTCATCTTAAAAACACCCGTCCTCCGAAAGGGGGATGGACCTCGATAACCCCAGAGTGCAGAGAAGAATCTGCGCCCCCCGGTCCACGGATCCTGATCTTCGGTAGTGAAGAGATTAAGCTGTTTCCCTCTCACCGTTTTAGAGACGGAACGGCTGCGACAGGTTTGGGGAAATCACCAGACACGACAAGCTCAGTAATGTAAAAATAGAAGCAGAGTACGTTAGTGGTCTGGAGGCGAGTAGGGCCATGGCAGCTGAGGAATTTACGTATAGTGTTCGGGATGAGACTGGTAAGCATGAAAAGACCGTGCCAATGTGAGCAACACCACATAAAACCAAAAATTCGTCCAGTGGCGTAGCCAATTGTTTTGATCTTCGTGACGTCGCTGAGGACGAGATGGTCGAGGAACTTCACAACGAGGAACTTTACAACGACAGCCACCCAAAATTATCGTATGCGCCCAAAGTGAAAACTTCGCTGCCACAAAGTAATGTCATCGAGCACATGTCGGCAGTTCAGTTCGTGGGACTTCTGAGGTCATTTGGCCTGTCGGTTCTTCCCTCAGTCCGAACGCTCGACTCCCAGCTGGCACTCCAAGCTCCCTCCCCGCCGATCGAGCAGTCAGTAGACGCCGCTCTGCTGGCCTCCTCGGTGCGCGCTGGATCACCAACGGGCGATGGTTAGACGACGGCTCGGCGTGGTCGGAGTCCTCGTGCGCCGCCGGCCGTGCCTTCGTCTGCCTCCCAATCGGTCCCTTCGCTGCAGACACCGCTTGCCAGTGCCTGTGAGCGTGTGGCAGAGACGCTGGAGCGCCAGGAAGCTGACAGGCGCGCCCGCGAGGCCAAGCGAGCGCGCTTGGCCGAGCTGGAACGTGCTAAAACGGCAAGTCGTATGTCCGGGACAAACAAAGGGCCCGTTCCCCAAAACAGCACTCCATCGCCACGGAGACCGGTGGAGGCCCCCACTGGTTCCTCGAAACCCGGTAAAGGTCCACCGATGGGCCCTCTCCCGCCTCCACCCCGGACTGAGTACCCTGGCGTAAAGCGTGCCCCAGCCGGCCCCCTTCTCCATCTGATGGAGGGAGCCCAAGGATTCGTCCTAGAGTGGGGCACGGCCCCCCGGAGTTAAGCCATAGCTCTCGATCTGAGGCGTCTGGGCACACAACTGGCGCAGCCGAGCTCTTTTAAGACGGGGCTTGTTTTAGCTTGCTATATCTCACCGCTTTTTAATGCGTCCTTTTACAGGCGTTTCCACAGTGGAATTATGCATGGATTAGGGCGAACGCCCTCGATCTCGAAGCCGTCGTCAGCAGGGTCTTTCCTGCAATCGTGGCGCTGCAAGAGACCAAGCTAGCTTCTGAACATTTCTGCTCTTTGAAAGGTTATGCGATGTTCCGCAACGACGTGTTGACGGAGACCATTGCTCACGGTGTTGTCCTCCTTGCAGGTCATCATAGCGTGTTAGCGAGAAGGTTAAGCTTGCGGCACACGCTTCAGGCTGTGGCCATTTTTCAACCATCGTCACATCACCCTTTGTTCTCTTTACCCTCCACCTGGCATCGCTTTTCCGTCGGTGCACATTAGATGCCTGGTGGCTGAACTGCCTCCACCACTTCTTCTTCTTGGCGGTTTTAATGCGAATCACACCGCATGGGGTGTGGCGTCACCAATGCTCGTGGAAGGCTGTGTGACCATTGTATTCATGGTGTTTCACTATGTATTTTAAACGCAGGAACTCGTACCCATTTTACAGTGCTGTCCGGTCAGACGTCAGCGCTAGACTTAAGCCTCTCCAGTCCTCCAGCTCTTCCAACACCTCGAGTGGAGTGTCGGAGATGATCCCATGGGAAATGACTACTTCGCAGTGTGTGTCCGGTTTAAGAGAGGTAGAGCATTGAGTGTTAGACCACAACGCTGGAATTTTAAGAAAGCGGACTGGTGCGCATATGAGACTCAGCTCGAGGAATCGCTTGTAACTGAGCCTGAGAGGACGCCACCCTCTATTGAGGATTATACTCACAGACTTTAAGAGTGTGCCAACAGTTGTCCCACTCATGTCCCACTCACGTCTGGCGCTCCCCGACGCACTCCTGTTCCGCGGTGGACGGAGGAGTCATGGAGCGTCATCCGCCGGTACGTAAACGTGCGTTTCGGGATTTTAACGCCAGGAGCAATGTAGAAAACCTGGTAGCCTTTACGGAAGCGAGAGCTTTTGCTCGGCGCAC